TATAAAAACATACCAGTGTTGGTATAATTACAGAGCAATCTTCTGCGTTCAATCTTCTAAACTATTAACTCACCCAGACCTGGCAGATATTTCTCCTTCTGCTTTTCTGTTCCATATGCATATATAGGATGCATCACCAAAGATGACTGAACACTCATGACTGACCGATAGCCACTGTCCACCCTCTCAATCTCCCTGGCCAGGAGTCCATATGCAACATAAGTAGTGCCTGCACAGCCATAGCCTAAGGCAAAAGAATGGAGAATTAAACATCTGTGTCAAGAAATCAGCTGTAACTCTCTTAGATAACTTTCCTGAAAGATCCTACTTGCCAAATATTTAGAAAGAAACAAAAAATAAATGGAATAATTTATTAATAATTTAATAATAGTGACCTAACACACACACACACACACACACACACACACACCAGATACAAAGTAATTGTTACATCATCTACAATCCATAATATGAACTAAAATCAAGTTTTACCAAGTCTCTAAAACTAGTAACCCTGGTATTTCAAATATGATAAATGATTGGCAATTTCTAAATCTGGATCTTAAAATTTTGTATCCTCCCTTATCCTAAGATATCCTTATTATCTTATCTTAAGAAGCTCTTTCAAGCATTTCACAATTCATAACAGGGCACTTAAAAACAAAATCTTATGTTTAATTCTAGCCACAACCAGATAGGAGCACAACCAAAATACTTTTCAAAACACTTCAAAGCATACTTCCCATTATTCTTTCATCCATTGATTTGTATATATTTTCTCTTATAGGACAAATAATTAAATATTAAGTAATAAATTAAACTGCAGATAAAACTCTGAAGACACTGACGGAATACAGATCAGTAATTTAACTGATCAGTCAAATAAAAGAAGTATACAAATGGTAGAAAGGTGATGGCAATGATTTATCAAATACTTAAACTATAGCTGAAATGGAGACATGATATATTCTGAACTTCTCCCAAGAAACATGAAAAAGTTCTAAAAAATCCTCCCTTTCTGCTATAATGGTCTCACTCACTGTCATGAAAATGTTTAACAATACCTTTGATGGTTGGGCCCAAGACACCAAGGGCTCCCATCTCTGACACAATTTCCCGGTGAAAGACTAGAATGAAAATAGCAGAGAATAAAAGAATGTAATTTAGAACACTGTAAGCAAAACGTATTGGAAGAAATATGCATAAAATATACTCTATTTCCCAGAAGCCTGGTATGCAACACAGAGGCATGTTATAATACTGATAAGTAACTTTGATAATTACTAAAGCCCTGAAGTCACAATTACTGAATTTACATGGAAATCAGTATTCCATTTTAATAGCAATGGCACTTAGACTTATATACTACTTCATCGTGCTTTACAGCACTCTCTAAGCATTTTATGGAGTCAGGAATTGCCACCAACAATCTGGATCCTCATTTTAACAACCTGGGAAGGAAGGAAGGCGGAGTCAATCTTGAGCCAGTGAGAATTGAACTCCAGGCTGTGGACAGAGTTAGCCTACAAACCTGCATTATAGGGCACCATGATGGCTCAGAGGTTAAGACACTGAGCTGGTCAGCTGAAAACTGGTAGCCCAAGGTTCAAGATCTGAGCACCATGTGATGAGGAGAGCTCCCGTCGTTGGCCCAGCTCTTGCTAACCTAGCAATTTGAAAGCATGCAAATGCAAGTAGATAAATAGGTACCACTTCAATGCTCCACCACATCATGCTAGCCACATAGCCATGGAGATGTCTTTGGACAGCGCTGGTTCAATGGCCAAGAAATGGAGATAAGCACCACCCCTATAGTTGGCAACGACCACTGGAATAAAATCCACAGGAACCCCTACCTTTACTGCATTCTAATTACTTCATCACCACAGGTAAGGGCAGGTAAGATTACATATGAAATAATGAATGTTTAACAATACACACACAATGTATATTATTTCAAGTGAGTCTTCACCCCTAATTCTGGATTAGTTCATGCAGGGAGAAAGGGAGAATGTATCATATGTACATAAAGCAATAAAAGGAAATATATAGCCCTACAAATGTTTTGAATTTCAATTCCCGTCAGCCTCAGCCCAACCAGCAGTTCCAAGGTTTGTAGAAGCCGTAGCCTCAAAGTATGAAGGACACCACTTTGTTAAAGTTACCTTCATTTCGATTGGCCATGAGGATCCTGGGCATCAACTTTTCTTGGCAATAGGCACGGAATGAGTCCCGCATCATTATTTCCTCCGGAGTCAGGAGCCTTTCCAATTGTAGGGCATCGCGCCAGTCAAACTTAGCTTCCGGATCTGGAAGAAGAAAGCTAGAGCTAGCCTAAAGAACAAAAGGACTGATAAAGAATCCCCCCACACCCCAGGTCCCATATAAGGCCTGCTGAAGTAATGGGAGTACACAGTCCAATAGTCCTCCCTATAGACAGTAACATAAATGCCGCTGAAAAGTTGTGTAGTTGGCAAGTGCGAACCTGTGTAAATCTCTGCCTCGCATTAGATTATTCTCACACAGACACCATGAGATTATTGTCAGTTGCGACTTCATTTAATAACCAGGAAAGAAACCACTCAACTCCCATTTGTTTGAAATCAAGTGTACTTTTACTAATTACAAATGAACAGTTGCGAAGCTAAGCTGAATCTGGTTAATTAGGCGCGAAAGCAAAGAATATCATGTATGATTCAANTGTGTGTGTGTGTGTGTGTGTGTGTGTGTGTGTGTGTGTGTTCATAAAATTCCCAGCCATTTGCAAAATATAGCCCAAAATCACTGATTTTGGAATACCATGCATCAGCCTTCAAGCCAAACTCACTACATTTTATCCAAACTCTAACAATAAGAACTCAGAATTGTCATACCCCACTCACTGTTTTCTGAATTCTTTACCAAAGCAGAAGTGTAACAGCCAAAAGGTTCAAATAGTACTTTACTGCTTTAAATAAAGACAACTTCAAGTATTTCTTACAAGTGTAGTGACAAAACTCAATGCCCGTTGAGTTTTGTCACTAAACTTATGACAAACAGTGCCACTCAACAGTCCCCTTGGGTAGAAATGGATTGTTTTCTCTATTTAATCTCTCTCCAAAGAGTTTTAATAATTTTAAGTGCTAGTAAAGATATGAAAGAACTGCTCACAGGAAAGGCCAATTTTCTTTGGTCACTAATATAAGCATGTCAGGTTTCAACTAATTATCCTACACAAACTACTGTTGGAAATTCATCACATTAAATTTATTTTTGAAAGCAGAAAGGGGACCTTATTCAAAGGGGCAAGGATCCGAGCTGAAATAGCTTAACACACCATCTAAAATGTGTTCTAATATTTTAAAAAATCAGTCTTTATTTAACACTGTCGATGAAGGCACTGAAAACAGCAGCTCGTTATGTCAAATGGCAGGAAAAACACAGAGTAGGTAGTACATTCTGATTTCCACCTTCTCTGTTTGCAAGTATTACAATTTCCTCTTCCACAAAAAAGAAAAATCTTACCTGGATTTTTTAAAACTATAAATTGTAGATTACCCACTCTGGTATAAACCTCAAGGCTCTGCCTGGGCTCTGGAACAGCAGTCAGCTTTAAAGTATCAAATACCTACAGTTACACCCCAAAATCGTTTGTCTCAAAAACAATTAGACAATTCCAAAACATTTCCTAGACCACAGTGTTATCCTTCCACCAATTAGAAAGAAGTTTTTCCTTTAGCACAATGCAGCACTTTTAACTTCTTTCTGTATTTTTGGTGAACAACAGAGAATTTTTAAATGCCTGATTTCTTTCAGCTTACAAATAATTAAGTTGAACTGAATACTTTGATCACAATCTGGTCAGCAGCAGCACTCATGCTCATCTTATAAAAAGATATTCCAGCATCATAAACCATCTCGAGTGATGTTCACAACTGGAATCATGTAGAGGAAAGCTAAAGTCTAGGGAAATGTGTTTATTTCCCAACTGTGAATGCTTGAAGTCCAGTGATAGCTCTTCCAAGGATGAGAGCATGGATATCATGAGTCCCTGGAGGCAAAAAGGCAAAAATGTTGTTAGAATTGTCTTTAAAAAATGTAATAAATAAATGAAGCAAAATAATAGAACATGTTTCTAAATAACATGTTTGCTGGACACAATTACAATCCTTTTTTTTACCTTCATATGTGTTAACTGCCTCCAAATTCATAACGTGCCTGATAACATGATATTCATCAGCAATTCCATTGCCCCCAAGCATGTCACGAGCTTGCCGGGCAATCTCCAGGGCTTTCCCACAGGAATTCCGTTTCAGCATAGAGATCATCTCAGGAGTTGCCCTGGGAACATAGGACAAATGCTGAAATCAAGCAAGGGCTGAAAGGGCTTAGGTCCCTAGGCTTTCATACAAAATACACAACAAATCAGATGTAACAGAAATCAGAGTTAGCATAGCACCTTTAAAAAAAAAAATGGATGGGAGGACCAAGGTCCTTGGTGAGAATTCCCCTCCTTAATAATCATGAATCTCCCTCTCTCCCCTCTGTTTAAATCTGGAAAGGAAGTTCAGTGGCACTAATGAATAACAATAGCCCTTTTTATTGGGATTATGATGAAAAAGAAAAGAATGGAAATAATTAACCACATCTTGTGGCCTTACAATTTTCTTCTTCTTGCTATTAATTGCTTTTGAAAGCACAGGGTTGAGCACTATATCATCAGGCTTTCTCTGTTGGCTCAAGCTTGATTGCAGCTTCCCAGGAACTTAACACAGCATATTTAATAGATGATTGTCTTCTGAGAAATGAAATTGCAGCTCCTATATTCTCTTAAGCTTAAACTTAGCTCTCTTTTTCTCCCTTTTTTCCCGTAGCTTAATAAAGACCTTTCTTTTTCCTCATGCCTAGTATAAAATGGTAATGGGTTACTATATTTCAAGTATAATTTCTAATGTCTACTTTCTGCACTGCAATAATCCCAGATGTGTGCTAGCTGCAGCAAAGCGAGTATAATTTTTTATTGTTATTGATGCACATTGCAATGCTGGGAGAAACTGGAAAAAAAATGCAATTTGTGGGTTAAGAAAAGGAGAACAATTTGATCCTCCCTTTTATCTCCGTCTCTCTCCAGCACAGAGGTACTGATCTTTTAAAATGTTTCCCCAGATACAAAATGAAGTAGTGCGGTACATTTTATCTTTCATTTGACTAACTCTACCTTTGAGGGGGAAAAAGGTCACTATTCACAATTCTGCCATTAGTGACGTATATAAATATATGCCTACTTGTCTTCATCTTTCAAGCGCCCGAGTTGCAGACAAGCCTGTAAGCCAATAGTGATTTCCGTGAGCATGTCAGCCAATTTCTTCTGGATCAATTGGTTTCTTGCCAAGGGGGCTCTGAACTGGATTCTAAGAGGAATGGATGAGATAATTCAGCTAAAACCATTGCACAGGTATGGTAGGGGGAAAAAGAGTTGATAAAATACTGGAAACATTCTAGAAGATCACCATGTAGAAGGTGATTCTATCATACTAGAAGCTTTTAAGCACAACAAGTTAATTTTAAAGAAGAATTCAGATATAACAGGTATAACAAAGAGCAGGTAAAATAGCATAAGGTCATTTCCAATTACCTCCCAAAGACCCATTAGATCACACAGGGTCGGCCTCCTCCGGATTCCGTCTACCAGCCAATGCCATCTGGCCACTACCCGGGGGAGGGCCTTCTCTGTGGCA